ATCAGTCTCCTTTTGTCAGTCTCCAGTAAGTTTGAGGGTGCCTAACCCCAAAAGTATTATGCAATTTATTAATATAGTGATAAATTATAAAATATTGTCTTTTTTTTTTAATAAAATTGATTGGATTTGTACGCTTAACATTTTTTTTATATATGTCATTCAAATTTTCTTATTATGAATTAATACATTTAAAATTATTGAATATTAAAAAAATTTAAGACATATTTTTGGCTAATTATTATTATTATAAAAATTTATAATTAGTGAAATTTTTTTAAAAAATATACAAACGAATAGCACAAAGTGTGGATTAAAGTCTAGTGTATTAAAAAATTATTAATTTTTAGTTTAGAATTAAAGATAAGAAAATTTAAAATTACAAATTTTAATAACTGAACTAATAAATGTTAACAAATATATTGAATTAAAAAAATATTTTTTTTAGCAGATGAAACTGAAAATGTGCGTTATTATTTTTAGATAAGTGTATCGTTAATATTCAATTAATATATATTGTTTAGAACATGCTGAGTGGGATTTGTTTGTGTTTTGAATCAAAGTAAAATGCTCAATATTAGTCTAATTGACATCATTTGAGGGGAGAATGAATGTGACATTTCCACTGCAAAGTCAGTCTACTGTTTATTTAATTTCAACCCTCTTCTTCTGGTGAATTAATTCAAATCATGAACCTGAACATTTTTCTACTAGAAATTTTCCTTTTCACATTTCACCTGAGCATACATTGCTCATTAAGTTTCATATAGCGCTTTGAATTATGATGATTTCCACTTTGAAATCAAAGTTTAATTAATTAATCAATGTCTTTATAGCGCGTTTGAAAAAATAAAGGAAAATAGAAAAATAAAAATGTTTTTATGTGTCAAGACATCTAATAATAATTATTAAATATATGAAATATAATATAAGTTTTAGTTTTATCATTATTTATCATATAATTATTATTATTAAATTTTTGGTATTTTTAATGTAAGGATATTATGATGAGTAATAGTATTTAGGTTGAACCTATATAGAAATAGCTAACTTAACTATTTTTATTTGAAAAAAAACAAAACAAAACAAAACAAAATAAGCAGGGTTTAGTTGTTACTAATTCCTTCCGAATTGTTTTCGCTCCTCTTTTCCCATGTTCCCTAGCAACTGTCATTTGCCGATTCTTTTCTTTCACTTCCTTCACTTCATCGACTAGTCCACCAGTAAATGGGTAAGTTTTGCTCTCTCCCTTCACTTCAAAAGTGTGCTGAATACTTGGGTACTTGGGTTGATGGTCCACAAGGTTGCCAGTCCTCTAGACTTGGGTCCATAGTGATCGCAACAACATGACAAATTTTCAAGAAAGGATCAGTTCTTTCCAGTTCATATAACTCTAAGCCAAACTTTTTCTTACAAGAAAAAGTGAAACCTTTGGAAAAGTATAACCCCAATATGTATCAAGAGAAAGTTTTAGCAAAACGCCACTTAGGAGATATTGGTATGCATAGTTTAAAGAAATACTAATTTTTCAAATCTTGTCTAATCAAAACCCAAAAATTTCTCACTGATCATTCATTGATTTATTTTGAGAAACTTTAGCAATAAAATGCACATATTATCCAAAGAGAAATGCTATTGGGACAGCCATTTTGTTTGATCTTTTTGTACAATTTGACATATCATTAAAATGATTGTTTTTTTAATTCATGTAAGACCCATGATATTGAATATATCCACTCATTTAATTATACATGAAAGTTGTGTAAAAATGTGAGACAAAAAAATTGTTCCTATAACATCACCCTTATCCAAATACTATGATTAATCATATTATTTACCTTGATTAATCATCCATTTGAGTTTAAGGAAACCTTTCCTCTATTTTATTTCTCCTTAAATTGTGAGCTTTAGGACCTTGATTAGACCAACAACTGATTTTGCACATAAAATTATTGTTGCTTACACCACTCGAAACAGTTTAGAGCCAATTACCCAACTCTATAGCAAGATTTTGAGGGAAAGCAACAGATAACAATTCCTATGGTAGAAATAAGAAATCCTTATAAAATGAATCCAAAGGGAGATTAAGAAGAAATTCTCAATGGTAGAAATCCCCATAGGAAATTGAAGAAGAAATAAAAGAGGAAATTGAAAAGGAAATTGAGGGAGGGAATTACTTGAGACAAAGCATCATTGGTGGAGTAGTCGACAAACTGAAGGAAGTGAGGGAGAAGAAATGCTAGGGAATCTAGGAAGAGAGGAGCGAAAACATTTTGAAAGGAATCAGGAAGGACTAAACCCTTCCTATTTTGTATTTTGATTTTTCTCTAACAAAAAAAGCTAGGTAAGTGAACAGCCACGTTGTTCAACCTCTTATTCGACCCAAATATCATTACCTTGTTACGATTTTTCCTTTTTCCTTTTAAAAAATGGAAAAAAAATATGCAAGCTCAAATTCTTTACGGTAGAAAACATAAAGGTGGGCTATAAATGAGTTTATGTGGTTGGCGTATCCTTAAACTAATCCCTCTAAATAATTTTAATGATACGATAAACTACGAAAGACCAGTTTACGATCAATACATCTAAAGAAATACTCAAATTGAAAGACATAACTTATATAAGATCAAAGAACCGAAAAAATATTGGTGTCTCCAAGCCAGCTGGGGCCAGTGTTTTAAAACTGGGATTAGAATTGGTTAGTCTGATCGGTTCGGTCAAAATTGGTCTTACACTTAAGCCAAGTTACAATATTGACTTGGTAGTAATAAAAAATTGGTCAAACCAAGTCAAATTTGATAAATTACCAGTAAAAATAAGTCCAACCCTATAAAAACTGCTGAAAACTTGAACCGATTCATTTTTTTAATTTTTTACGTTTTTTACTTTTTTACAATTTTAATTTTATATTTATTTTATAAATAATATAATTATAAAATAGTAAAATAAATATAAAGAACAAATTACTACTAATGAATGTAAATTTTAAATTACTTTAAATGTAATTTGATTAAACTTTAAAAATGAAATTAATTTTGAATTAAATTACTATTTCAAATTAGAAAGTGAAATTAATTTCCTCTGATTTGAAATGAAATAAAATCGATTTCATTTTAGAAATAAAAATAAATGACTACTTTAGTCGATAAATGAAATTTAATTTGAAACTGAAACTAATTTTAATCAATTTTGGAAATAAAATCAATAAAACTAAAAAATTATTTTATAATTAATGCTTTAGATAACTAGTAAAGAAAAAGAGGATATTTGTATGAAAAAAAAAAAAAATTAGAGTCACAACTTTAAAACACCACTATCTAATGAATATTTTCAAAAATCAATGATTAGATTTAATGTTTTATTTATGTAGATTATGCATATCAATTTCTAATTAATTGAATACACATATCTAATTTATTGATTATAGAGAATTTATTATCATTAAACATATATTAGAAAATACAAGTTTTTATAGTATTAGATCAACTTAAAAATTAATATACATGATCTATATTAAATGAACATTAAATTTAATGATTGGTTTTTTTAACATATCAAGGTAGTATTTTTGAAGTTAAAACTCTAATTTTTTATGAGACCCCGGACTTATGTGAAATTTTCTTCAAAGTAAAAATTAGGTATTTCAATAAACTTAAGAAATGAAACTAATTTAAAATCAATTAATTTTAAAGATGTAATGAATTTTAGAAATAAAGTCTTAAATTTTCTTCAAAGTAAAAATTAGGTATTTTGATAAATTTAAGAAATGAAATTAATTTAAAATCAATTAATTTTAAAGATGTAATGAATTTTAGAAATAAAGTCTTTGAAATTGAATTTTTTTTTAACATATTACAATTTTGAGGAAGGGGGATTCGAACCCCAATCTTAAGGTTAGGGATACACCTTACAATGAGACATATAATTATCAAGTCACGAAACTCAGTTGCGTCTTTAAAATTAAATATTAGTGTTTATTAGTCACATATATAAAAGGAATTAGATAGAAAAACATTCAAACTTATTTTATTTCAATAAATTATCATTAAAAAGACTAAAATAGTCTCATACATTTTTTAAAAATTAGGATATTTTAGTTTTTTTAATGAAAATTAATTCAAATGATGCAGTTTTGGGGTTTTTTTACTTAATTTTTTGTGGATATGGTTGATAAATATTTTTTTCTTTAAAATCAATAACTACTTTAATCAATGAATGCAAAAATGTTCTTAATCAATTTAAAAATAAAATCAATTAAGGTAAAATTAATTTTATAATTAATAAAATCATTTAAAGAATATTTATTAAATCAATTGATTGGATTGGCCAGTTTGATCGGTTCAATTGGTTAAACTAGATTAAGTGGTCAAAAGGGGTTGGTCAACAAGTTGGTTTTAAAACATTGACTTGGATTTTAGGTTGGATTAAAAGCAACCATCAACGTTGAAATTAAAAAATTTATGAGAAAATGTCTCTTATCAATCTCTTAACTAATTGAATCTTAAATAACAAGGAGAGAATCAAAGCAAATTCTTTTACTTGCTAAGCCACACTCCTTGGGTTAATAAAATATTTAATTTGAAAAAATTAATATTTATTAGTTATATTTCTAAAAAATTATAAAAAAACAATACAAAATTATATTATTTTAATAAAATATTATGAGAAAAAATCAAAAGTCTCATTTTTAATTTAAATATAAGTTATTTTCATATTTTTTTCAATGATAGTTTATTAAAATGAATAATTTTAGAGTATTTTTCCTTTTAATTTTTTAAAATATCTTGCTAATAAACATTTTTTTATAAAATTTTGAATATTATATTTTCATTTTTTATTTCCCTAAATGGGTTAAAAAGAGGTCCAGGGCCAAGCCCAAAGTCATCAAGACACTGAACCAGGAACAAGCCGATCAGAACTAAGAACCGAACCGGATCAAAGAATATCATCGATCCGGCCCGGTTGTCCAGAGTCTAGACTCTAGAGTGACTCCAGTCCCCAGCAGATAATTTCGTCCAGTACTTCCATTTTCTCTCAACCTCCGATCGTAACCTCTCGATTTTGTGGTCGGAAGCTCTTCAATGGCCACTCAAGGTCAGGTCATCACTTGCAAAGGTAATCTTCTCTTCTCCACTCTCTTTTACTCGTTGGTGCAAGCGATCGTGATTGTGACGGTTGATCTGTGTGTCGGTGGAAATGGAAATGCGAAGCTGCGGTGGCTTGGGAACCGAACAAGCCGCTGGTCATACAGGACGTTCAGGTGGCTCCGCCTCAGGCCGGCGAGGTGCGAGTCAAGATTCTCTTCACTGCTCTGTGCCATACTGATGCCTACACTTGGAGCGGCAAGGTATATACATTTCGTTGTGCATTTGAATCATTCGGAATATTCTTTGTGCAGGAATATTCTTTGTGCAATTTATTAGGATCCTGTGCTTTTTTTGAGCCTTTTTCTGCTTTTTCTGCTAATGCATTTTGTAGGTGTGTGTTCCGCTCTTGGTTTAATGAAGAAGAAGGTTATTAGGATGAATCAATTACTCAACTGATATGGCTGGCTGCATGTTATCATAGTCTGTTCGACAGATTAACAATATAAAATGCTAAATTTACTTTGTTATCAAATTAAGGCATTTTTGCTGACAAATGATTCTTATCTAAAATCTAAAAGATATTTGCTTGGTATTGATAGAGATATTGGTTGCTTTTCTACATTGAATTTATATGCTGCATTTTTGGAAGTAGAAGTGGGAGCATTCTCTGTGTATAGTTCAAGGTTATAATTTGAGATTTGTGCTTGTCCTCCGTAAAATAATAACAAGGCCTAATTTAATCTGGTTTATGATTTTTGTCTCTGTGCTGGGAAAGACTAAGCTGCTGTTGGATGTTTCTTACATAGTGTTAATTGGCGTGAATCTTTCTTTCAGGATCCTGAGGGTCTCTTCCCATGCATTCTTGGTCATGAAGCAGCTGGGTAGGTTTTATGTAATTCATACATATCTTGTCATTGCTCATAGTTTTTTGTTCTTGTGATTGCTGAAGGGGGAGTCTTGGTTGAACTTTTTGGGCTCAGGATTGTTGAAAGTGTTGGTGAAGGAGTGACTGAAGTTCAACCTGGTGATCATGTTATTCCATGTTACCAGGCAGAATGTAGGGAATGCAAGTTCTGCAAATCAGGAAAGACAAACCTATGTGGCAAAGTTAGAGCGGCTACTGGAGTAGGAATCATGATGAATGATAAGAAGAGCCGTTTCTCAATAAATGGAAAATCAATTTATCATTTCATGGGCACCTCAACATTTAGCCAGTACACAGTTGTACACGATGTTAGTGTTGCAAAGATTGATCCATTAGCTCCCTTGGAGAAAGTATGCCTTCTTGGGTGTGGTGTTCCCACTGGTAAGGGTTCTTTTCACTTTCTCATTATTTCATGCATTTGTAGCTTCATATAATCTCAATGTTAACACGGTACTTTCCTTATCTGTTTGACAGTAAGTATTTGGTATTTTACCTTTTCAATTCATGGAATTACGTGCATTTCAGAGTTAATGGCTGTGTTTTTCTTAAATACTTCTAGCCAACAAATTTATGGTCTTTTTAATTAGACAAAAAGTTTTCATTCTCAACTTGGGTTAAATCTGCTGTGATATTATATGTGTAATGGTTATATAGTTCTATTATTTATTTGATTGACTCTGCCTCTTCTGTAAGCCCTAAGTGCAAGCAATCTTTTTCCTTTCAGTTGATTTTTGGAAAATCTCATGTATAGGTATTCCCTCCTCTGCTTTCCTAAGATTTTTCCTTTCTTCTCTATACTTCAAAAGAAAAATAGTTGGTGCTTACATGCAGAGAGCCAGAGAAAATGCTAGTAGTAGTTTCACTGTTGTTTTCCTTTCCTTTTTTGGAGTGGAAAGAATTATTGAAAGGTTGTAAACCATATTGGTGTCATTAGGTCTTGGAGCAGTCTGGAACACGGCAAAAGTGGAACCTGGTTCTATTGTTGCTGTTTTTGGCCTTGGGACTGTGGGCCTTGCAGTAAGTGTTTAAAATGAATTTCCATTCATTTTACATAGTAATTTATTTAGGCTAGAAATAGCACTTTCCACTCATGCTTACCGCCAATTGTCCAAATTTTTTTCCTCCACTATTATTATCATGCTAACAACTAGGTTGTCATGTTAGTGATTTTAATTTATGTTTTTGACGTGTTAGGTTGCTGAGGGTGCTAAAGCAGCTGGGGCTTCGAGAATAATTGGCATTGATATTGACAGCAAAAAGTTTGACATAGGTACATTTTTATGCTATTATACAAACACTGATATCATGAGATGCAGTTATCTTACGTTTACTTAAAATCAGTCAAAATGTTTGTGATTTTTGAAGTCTCTTACACCTACAAGGGCTGGTAAAACCATCTGAGGCATTTGAAATAGATAGCTTTAGGTGTACTGATCAGTGCTGAAACCATCTGAGGCATCTATGGAAAGCTCCTGTGCTTAATTTTTCAGTTGACTGTAATAACTAATAATAGAAAAATAATTGATGGAGCTACAGTTTTCTCCTTTTTCTTTTTTTTTTCCACCTTGGTGGGCCTGCGCTTAGTGCTGCTCATGGTAGACATGTGATACTTTTTCAACTTTTAGTTATATGTATTTTTGCATATTGCAAATTGCAGCAAAGAATTTTGGAGTTACCGAGTTTGTGAATCCAAAGGACCATGATAAACCAATTCAGCAGGTTATTGTTGACCTCACTGATGGTGGTGTCGATTACAGTTTTGAGTGCATTGGAAATGTCTCAGTTATGAGGGCTGCACTAGAATGCTGTCACAAGGTGAGTATTGTCCAGCTTGTAAATTATTGTGTGAATGGTATAGCTTGCTTCTAACATCCTGAAAACTTTCAGGGCTGGGGAACATCAGTGATTGTTGGTGTTGCAGCATCAGGCCAGGAAATATCCACCCGCCCCTTCCAGCTGGTGACTGGCCGTGTTTGGAAGGGGACTGCTTTTGGTGGTTTCAAGAGTCGTTCACAAGTGCCTTGGCTTGTAGACAAGTACATGAAGAAGGTAAATTAATTTGTACATAAATCTAAAATTTACCTGCTCAGTAGCATAAAACAGTAGTGTATTATAACAAACCCTTCCGTTTGCAATGCAGGAAATTAAGGTTGATGAGTACATTACCCATAATTTGAGTCTTGGGGAGATCAACAAGGCCTTTGACCTGATGCATGAAGGAGGTTGCCTCCGTTGCGTGCTTAACACGCAGTAATGAAGATTATCTTAAGCAAAGGGGTGACCTGTTAAGAACATGTGTGGTCGTCTTGTTAGCCATGTGTGTTATTGCTGCTTTCATGAGTAGAAATGTACTGCCAATACTTGAAACAAGCTACTTATTTCAATGAGCTTATGAAGTTTGGTATCTATTTTACGTCTGGGCTTCTCAACTTTGCAGATGATGCATCATTATTCTCAAATCTGAAGCATATTGGGTCCTCGTTTCTATATGAATAATCAGCACCGAACTATGGAGCTGTCGAATTACAGCAAGGGTATTGAGGCTAGATCATCACTTGCTGTTTTATTGTTGAAAGTCTGTCATGAGTTTGAAATTGTCTTGTGTCAGAATCTTCCTAACAGGTCTCTTCACTCTACAGAATCAAGTCTCCAATGCCATACTAACAGAATAAATCTCAAGGCTAATCCCACAAAATCAAGTCTCTGGGGCCAATGCTTCAGAAATCAAGTCTCAAGGTCAGTCCTGCCGAATCAAGTCCCAAAGCCAATTACGATCATAGTTGGAAATTCCTTGCAACAGAATCAGATCTCGAGGCCATCCATTTTTCGTGCTTCTGTTCCTCCAACATGTCATATGCGTGACACCCCAAATATCATGAGCCAGACTCAACATTTCCGAATATCAGAACCTGTCTCGAACAGGAACAATTTGCGGCCGTGTCAATGTTCATTTTCACAGCATTCACTCGGTCCGGGTAATACTTCCATCCGGAAGGATTGAGGTCATTGGTATTGATATAGGTTCGGAATTTATCTCTTCCAAGGCCATCTAAAAGGGTAAATAGTGGAGTGGCTGCAACAGGGAACCGAATTGCATATGGTTCATCAAAAAACATAACCTCTCATGTAGCACAGCATTCTCATGCGCAAAATTCCGCAGCAGTTTCTGCAACAAACAACATGAATCCCGTTAGATGGCAGAATTTTAAGTTCTGGCAAAAACCAAAGGCCTATATGCTTCAGAGCTCCCCCTAACCAAATATGGGCAGGGTCTACACATATTCACCACCTTCTCTGCCTGAGCCCTGAAGTATTCAGTCAGAATATTCCCCAATCAAAATGGTGACCAAAGTGTCAATCACCGTGGGAGTTACAGCCAACCTATGTCAAACAGCTGTATAGTATTTGACATTGGATTGGTTAATAATATCATCCAACTGGTCATCAACTGCAAACCATAGGGTCCGCAAATGAGCAACCATATCAAGGAGTTAGACGATTGTACTACATTCCGCTTTGAAGACGAACTTCATGCCCTTGGACTTCTCAACCTTTCCAGCTTCACATGAGACTAACATGTTTCTTCCTGAATGCTGGTGGTGAAGTCATGGCGCATGTGTTTTCTACCAGTTTGTAAAGATTTCTTTCATGAAATGGAATTCCTATACTTCTCATTAAAGGAAAAAAAAATAATAATAAAAAGAAGAAGAAAAAAAAAATAAAAACCCCCCTTTCAATAAAATTGGCACTCCATTTTAGGTTGTTTAAATGAATAATAATACATCATACATTTATTTTATTTTTAAAAAGCCATATTAACCCTGCGAGTTGCACCCCCTTCAACTTTTAACTACAGGCAGAGATCCACATAAAATTGATGAAAGGAACCAATGAACCAAGTGTTTTGCACAACCAGAGAGTTGTGAAATTTTTTCGTTACTCGTGGAAAAGAACTGCAACTTGTCAAACATAAAATTCTCACGAACACATACATTATTTTACCCATAATCACCGAAACAATTTTTATTGGATTCATAAAATTTTCAAAACAGAGAAACAGCCTCTCAGCCCTTTACCAATTTGTACATACCCTATAGCCTAAATTATACTGAACTTCTATGATACAGTTAAAACTCAAACAAAAGCAAACCGTCTCTCCCAACAAATAATGTTCTTGTTTGCAAGCCGCAAGAAACAGATTTTCTTCTTTTAAGAATGCACAAGCAACCTAAATCAGCCATGTATGTGTCATGTGAGGCCAAGTGGTTCAAAATCAAATAATCTCATACCAGTATCGAATGATACAGGTTCTGGAGGTTCTGGAGGTATGCAACCATCTTGAACCACTGGAAAGGGTTGGTCCTCAAAATCAAAAAGGAAGTTAAGGTCGTCTTCAAAATGGAATCTAGTACAATTATCAAACTCCTTGATTGATAGTTGCTCATTTGTGGAACCGGTGGTTTGCAACTGAACAATCTCAGTTGGAGGTTGATGGTCACTTTGGCCGCTATTGTTAACCAATCCAAAGTCAAAATCCGGAAAACCCCCACAGAGATTGATGCTTTGGTCACCATTTGATTGAGGAATGGGCTGGCTATACAATGCAGGCTGAGAAGGTGCTGTATTTGTGAAGACACTGCCCATGTTAACCTGTGAGGAGCTCTGAACCATATACATCTCTGGGGTTGTGGCAGAACCTAAATTCTCCCATCCAATGGGATTGCTGTCATTTGTTGTAGCTACTGCAGCTGAATTTGGGGCATGCTGTGCTGCATGAGAAGTAATGCTTTCTGATGAGCCATAAGCAGTTCGGTTCACTGCTGTAGCTGCAGCCACTCCACCATTTACCCTTTTAGGCATTGTATTGGAAGAGAAAAACTGTGAAACCATATCAATACCTTGACCTCGATCTTTTTGGATGGAAGTACTACGCGGACCAAGCAAACGTTGTGAAACTAATCGTGGACATGACTGCAATTTGATCCTTTTAGAGACCAATTCTTGTATTTGTGATTGCCGGCTTCCAGTCTGGCTCATACTATTTCGGGTGTTATCTCTGTTGGGGGAAGAGCAAGCATGAACAGTGGTTGACCTTGATATCTGATTCTGTGGCATGAAGTTTCCAGCAGGGATTGTAATTGGCCTTGAGACTTGATTCTGTGGGGTTGACCATGAGACTCGATTCAGTGGGATTGGCCTTGAGACTTGATCCTGTGCAACTGGGCTTGAGACTTGATTCTGGGAAGTGGAGCGGGGTGCCACATGGGTAACGTCACTAAGTGGAACATCATTAAGATGGGCTGCTTCCATAGGAGGCGTGAGAGGAAAATTTGAAACTGGCATGGGGGCATTTTTCCCGGTCCTGAAGCTTTTCCGCAAAGTGTTCCATCTCTCTTCTTCATCAGTAGCATGGCAATGGTCATTGGTGTTAGAGGTGCCAGAGCCCCAATAGACGCATGGTGCATGTGTGTCACAGACATAACAGTGGCACTGCTTGTCAACAAGAAATCAAGAGTTGCAGAGAATTAATACCCAGTCCCAATTGTTGAATCACAGATTTTCTTAAGGCTGTAATTTAAAACAATCTGCCTAGCAGGTCATTCTCCCAGTTCCAAACGATAATTCTTTGTAAATAAAAAAATAAAAAATTCTTTTACCAGTTCGCAGTGCTTTTCATGCGGAGTGGAACTGAACTTGAATTTAGCACATAAGTGCCGCGAATGGGGTAAATCTCTGCATGCAATCTGAAACCAATGAAAAACCGAAATTAGGGTAGAAGTCATAAATACAATGCCATTCACATACAGTAATGAAAAACTAAAGCATGTAAAGAAGAAGAGATTTAACGAGTATACAGATACAAAAAATTTAGACAAGCAGTACAGAACCAGATATATGCAATGGATGATTCTCAGCCTAACTATTGTTTTCAAAGTGTTGCAAAATTTCTTCCTCTTATTCTATTTCAGATTTAAATTTCACTTGACCCTTGACACAATAAATATACGTATATACCCTTTATTCCTTCCTTTGATGCCTCTTTCTTACAACACAGTTTAAGTTCGTAGTTTCAATACTAACCTTCTAGACCTAGGCGATATCAGTGATTAAAATATCAAACTAAAATGTGCAAGCTCAACCAAATCATTTCATATGCAGGGGCAGGCTAGATTTCCATTGGTACTCTTGTCTCATTGAAAGTTTGAAACTACATTTCCCTGTGAAGAAACAATAAATTGATGGTGTACAAAGCACTCACACAAATATCACTCAATTTTCAAGTATGAAGTTCCCTAGACTGGAAAACAAATAAGAGTGCATGACGGTAAATAACCACACAATATACCGTGTTCAACAAATGCAAACAAAGACAATAATATCAAGTCCTTTAACAAATAATGGAAACTAATAATATTAGTCATGAATTACATTGTCGGTTAAGATAAAGCTAAAATAAGAGTATATTTCATTTGTTTCCAGCAATCAATTAGAACAAAGGGAATTCTTCATCTAATATAAAAGAAAAACCTTGTTTCTCCCTTTCTATTTTGTCAGCACCAAAACATTCACACACATAAAAAAAAAAAAAAACCTAAGCTAAAAGGAAAGCATTAAATAACATAACAAATACAATCAGTACATTAACACTTCAAGAAAACCGCATTAGAGGTTCATTTTCAATTGATTCAAGTGTGAAAATAAAGTAATTTCATTTGCAATATACCTCCCCATTTTGTCCCACGATCTGCAACTCATCTTCGTCCTCTTCCTCTTCATTAGAAACATCCAGAGGTTTACGCGGGTCGCCATTCAGAACAAAACAATCATCGTTGTCATCAAAAACCTGACTTCTTAGTTTCGAGGGTTTCGACTTCTTGCTGGGCTTGACCTCACGAACAAACACGACCTCATCAGGATCGTCGAATCCCATATCAACGGCACCAAGAACTTCCGTAAACCAATTGTCGTCATCGCCGATCATATCCTCCCATGTCGGCGCCTCCTCGTCGGAGCTGATACCGAAAACCAGCTGCTTTGGGTCCATTAAAAAAGAAATCAAAAAATTGGGTTCTAGGAAAAATTAAAAATTTTCAACAGGATCTATTCGAAGTAGTGGGAATGAAGAATCATCGAAAGGGAAGAAGGGGTTTGAATCCATGAGCCAAAAAAAAAAAAAAAGAAGGAACAGAAAAAAGGAAAAATTTATCGATAAGTAAATGGTTTCCCCTTTCCTGATCTAGTTCGAAAATTTCCTGGAAAATTGTAGATTTTCCTAGTAAAATTTTCGAAAGGGAAAGAAGTGAAAATCAGGGCGTATGAAAGGGGAGAGAAATTATTAGGGTTCAGAACGGCGAATTGGGCGAGAAGAGGAAAGGCGTAGGCGGAAGTGGTGTGAAAAATGGTAGAAAAATAAAAGAAAAAAGAAAAAAAATAAATGGAGCAGACAGGGGCATTTCGGGCAATTGAGATTTAGCATATTAGTACAGTGTTTCGCGCGCCTCCGCGCGCGCGGTTGGTTTTGTTTTACGTACGAAACTCCCCACGCGCGTGTATGCGGCAGCACTGACGCAAGAAGGTCATGGGCCGTTACTATAGGGGTGAGCAGAGAAGGTCATGGGCCGTTACTATAGGGGTCAGCAGAGGAGGCATGTATGAGTCTGGAATTTGTTCTTGACGCCAAACCCCAAATCCGCCAAGGTGGTAAGGATAGATTCGTTTTGAAAAAAAATTAGAAATAATAAAAGATCTCAAATTTAATTATTTATCGTGTAATAAGAATCTGGTTGCTAACTAAATTTATTTTAATTAAAAGTTGCCGCGTGTGATGATATTAGTTATTAGATAATAAGTCATTTGTTTTAATTAAAAATTTTAAAAAAGTGATTTACCGTTGGTTTTTTTAAGGCAGATTAGTCCCTATCTTCTATTTGGAGAGTGGACTTGAGGATTCTTGTTCTTACGTGTAATTAACTTAAACAGTAACAAATACAAGATTTATCGTCTTACTTCTAAAAAATTAAAAAGAAAAAACAAAAATTACCTTAATGCATGCTTTAAAAATAAGGTAGTTTAGTCTTTTTTAATAAAAATCTATTGAAACGACGTAATTTTGGGATGATTTTTCTCCTAATCTTTAAGAGGTAAAGCTGATAAGTACTATTTTTTATTTACTTATTCAAACATTAAAAATATATACCTATTACACAATCCATTAGGTATAGCTATATTTACTGGTATAGTTGTATATTTGTTGAATATTTTAGTAAAAAATACATGAGTTGATACTTATGACAAAATAAATAAATTGAAATACAAATCCAAGTTCATGCATCCAAGAAAAATACACAGATACACTCACATATACATAAGTTATATAATAAAATATGTATAATCGAAAATCCATAGGATATTCTTTCAATTGAATTTTCATTGCATAAAGAAAAAAAAAAAAGCATAAACATTCTAGTTTCATGATATTATATTGCAAAATTAAGACTATAAAACTAGAATATGATCATTATGTTGTAAAATTTTAATATAGTTAAGCAATTCACGTGTAAATTGTAATGATATTTCTATATAATTAATGAAACATTTTAGTTTGAGGTTTAAAAGTATACTCACATAGTTGATTATCTTTATAATCAAGATTCAACTGAATCTCTTTCTTCTTAGGATGCAGAACCTATTTTTGTTAGTGAATATAAGAAAACAATTATTAATATATTTAGTGATTCATAAACTTCTCAAAAATATCATTAATGAAAAACAAAATTTATAAGCCTCATATTTCTCCTCTTCTAGCAAAATTTGTTTAGCATTTAATGGAGTCTTATTGGAGACTTATCACTCCTCACCTAATCTTGACCACAAACTAAATCTTCCACAACCGTTGGAGGCAAGCTACTACAACAATGATCAAGCACCTATCCAAAATGTACTAAAAGTTGATTCAGAAGTAAATGTTGACATTGGAATAGCCAAAATATCTCTCTTTACCATTTTAGATAAAATCTGTATTTTGATTGGTTCTTAATCCACCATCCTATAACATCAAAATCAATTTCATAAGGCTTAGTATGGTAAAAAAGATATCTCTCCACTTTACTTTTCTTCTCATTTTCAACTTCATCACCATCTTCTAACTGTCTCAATTCATTATAGAATTTGACTTTTTTACTTTTTTGTTCTGTTGGCTCCCTAATTAAGAACTGGACCACCAGAAACTTGAGTCGAAATGGAAGCATTTGCAGATTCTTTCTCATATCCCTCAAATAAATACTAGAAAATAATCTTTAAACTATCAACCAATTTTTTAATTTCCCATTCATCATTGCCATAAATTTTTTTAAGCAGAGTATGAAAGAACTCAATTTGCAAGATGGATTTAGGAAATCGAAAGCAATACCATCAAGTTAATCTCATCAATTCTACCATAATATTTGTC